CTTGGGTTAATGGAAAAGTTAAAGCAATTATTTACACTACTGGATATCCTTCCTGATATTAGTTTTTTTACATACCAGGACTGAACATTTATACACTTTACTATTAGAAAGATTACAACCTAATTTTTATAAGCTACCTTATTCTTTTGCTTTTACCTTCAACTATGTTATATATAAGTTTTATTTCTTTAAGACAAGTTGCCTTCACTAAAGGCAACAAAGTCTAAACCACCACAACTATATTGTATAATGTACAACTATTAATGTATAATGTGAAAAAGAAAAGTATTCCTAAAATGACCCAATTTCCATTACAAAACTCGTAATAGACAATGCGTTTTAAATAACTTTTAATATAAACAACAAGTTAAAAATAACAGGAATAAGTTAAAACTTACAATAAAACCTAAAATACAAAAACAAAAAATAATTTTTTTTTAATAAAAAACTTACTTTTTTAAACTTCAACTTTTCACGAAAAAAAAGAGGAAATGTTGGTGGTACAGATTTTGTACGAGCTTCCAGACCAAGCATTTCAATACGGAGATAAACATATTCATACTGTCTTAAAAAGGTTCCTGGGCAAGTAATCTAAATATATATTGTCAAAACATTTCAAAAAGTATGAGGCAAATTAAATATTAATGGTTTTTAATAAATATTACTATAAAATCAAGACTCTGAAAATGAAAAAAACTCGAAATCAATTTTGTATGCTACATAAAGTTTTAATTTGTAAAAATAAAAAAGGGTAGCAGTGTAAAAATAGATTTGCTTGATTTACACCAGTGTAAAGAAATAAAATAAAACTTTTCATCACAGCTAAAATTTAAATGTTGTTGTACTATCCTTATATTTGACTAAATATTCACTAGCATCTGTGAAAAAGTAAGAGAGAGGAGTGAAAAAGTAAGAGAAAGGAGTAATATTTGTTTGAATAATATAAAAAAAGGAACAAATAAGAACCCCAATAAGATGAAAAAAAAAACTACAATAGAAAAAGTCATAACACTTATATAAACAAAAGAGATTTGAAATTATTTACAAATTAAATTTACCAGAGTTCAAGATGGTACCAATTTAAAAAATAGAAAACGCGAACTCCAAAACTTTATTATAATAATAAAAAAATTTGATTAAAGTACAAGCAAAGAATTAGTTTTGTGTATTTAAAACATTAGTTTGACAAGAAATAAAATCATACTTCCTCAAACATTTTTAGTTTTGTATAAATAATCATTTTTTCACTGTAATTATCTCCCTAAGGAAAAGATGGCTAACACAGACAAGGAGATAAGACAGTTTTTTAAAATTTAAATTGTTGTTACAATTCAATCTTACATCTCCAAAACAAAAACCTTAACAAGGCCACAGCATAGTGAAACAAAACTAGCAAAGACCTACCAGATACCAAAACATGAAACAATATTTAAGCTATTACTAAAATATTGATGCAACAGAAATACAATATCAATGCTTGGCAGTCAAGATATTGTGACAATCGCAAATAATAGAAATAAGGTAATTTGAAGATACAAATAAAAAGTTCCATGTTTATAATATTTTTTAGCAAAACATAAAACTCTGAAATTTTTCTTAGAAAACATGATTTCACATGAATTATCAATTACAACTGCAACTGCTTGTCATAGTATAGCTATTTGTTTCTTGCACAAACTTAACAATTTTTCATTGGAAACCAATAAGATATGTGAAAAATACATAAAAACATCATATCCAAGCATGCAAGTTTACAGTTTAAATTTATTCATAGCTTATTAGTGTTTCAGATATGTGACCATAACTGTCACACATAACTGAGGCAATAAAAATTTTTTTTTTTGATTATATGTGGAATAAAAACGGCTACTATTACCTCTACTTAAATCATAAATACAGAGAAAAAAAATTGGAAAAAGTCAAAATGGTCAGAAAATAAGTAATGAATAAATGAAGGTGCTTAGAAAAATTAAATATTGCAAAATTTTACAAGGGTATAGCATTTTTCTAACACCATACTGATTGACATTTATAACAAAGTTTTATGGTTAAAAATAACAATGTTTTTTTGATTATAGAAAAAATTCTAGAAAGAAAACTTTTTGTAATTGATAGCTTAACCTAAATAAATGTATATAAAGTACAATTAAAAACTAATTTTTAAAAATTAAAATTCCAAAATTTGTTAATTAAAGAAAGCTATTTTAAAAATAAATACATAATGCAAAATATTAGGTTTATTTAAAATGAGCTTAAAATTTTGTTATTATTCACATTTATCTATCTACTTCTAACATTGAAACAGCTGTAAAAAATATACTATACTAAAAATATGTAATCTTACTGAGTGTAGGTCAATTTCAATAATAGATTTCATCGCTTTTCTTGGCATTTTAAATATGAACAAAAACTAAAATAAACAAAAAATTGGTAGATAATGTTTCCGCTGATTCTGTAAACACGGCTGCAATTATGGATTTTCAGTAAAAGTTTTAATTTATTCATTGGTCACACATTTTTAAATTTTTTATAAGATATAAATTAATTTAAAAATATTTTAATATTTAATGTACATGAGTCCATTTTCCTTAACAACAGAAACTTATCAATTTAAACTCGGTTGTCATTAGTGAATGAATTACTATTTCAGAATAAAAAACTGACTTGAATTTATGCCAGCTGCTAATGATGTAAAATTTTTGTTAAAAATAAGCCAACCTGAATGAAAAGTTTAAACTTATTTATTAAAAATGAATTTTTGTAAAACATCTATAATTTAAAAATATACTTCAAATGCGTATTTATAAATAAAAATCGTCAACCAAGAAATATAACTCATCCCGAAAAGCATAGACACAGCGTTCGAAAACTGATAGAAAATTTTATATAGTCAGTCCTTCATTCGAAGCTGCTTTCACATAAATACTAAAATAATACAATTTATGTCGTTTAATCGAATATAAAAAATGCCTCCTTGTTAAAAGAACAAACATAGTCGTGATATATGATATGGTTTGAATATATATTTATACCATAAAATTGAAATTCATGAAATTAAAAAACCCTCATTATATATATGTATATATATATATATATATATATATATATATATATATATATATATATATATATATATATATATATATATATATATATATATATATATATATATATATATATATATATATATATATATATATATATATATATATATATATATATATATATATATATATATATACAGGGGTGGGACCGCAAAATGTGAACACTTTTCTGATTGTAATAATTAATTTTCTGTTAAATATGAACTATTTTAAATGTTCAATTTGACCTCCTTGATTCTCGTAGATCATTTTACAACGTTTAGACCAACTCTTTAGACACTTTCTGATGAGTGAGAGAGTACAACTACATCTAACGAGAAAATAGTTATAATAAAACAAAAACGTTCACATTTTGCGGTCCCACCCCTGTATATATATATATATATATATGGTTTTTAATTTCAAATTGTTCTGAAATTTGTTTAAATCTTTTGTTTTAGCACTTGTATTTTACATAACATTAATATGCTTACCATTCAAAGCGTACATTTAAAAAAAATGTCAATCACGTTTAAAGATAAATTATTTAAATACTTATAAATAGATAAAAATTATTAAAGTTTACTTGTTTTTTTCATTATTATTTAAATAATAAAGCCTATACACTTATATAAATAATTTAACTTTATATACAAATATATCTATATACGGAAGCTGGGTATGAACAATATGAAAACTAACATATGTTTTTATGTTTATGTGTCAATGACGTAGTCAAATATATATGGTCTAAATATTAGACGTTGATAATATGAGTTTAAATTTATGAATAACTGTGTATCCCAAATATCTTGCTAAAATATCTTGCTAAAATATCTTGCTAAAATAAACTTTTTTTAAATCATAAAATAAAAAACATTACAGACAAATTACAGACACAAAAACAGATTATTATGCGGCCGTGGCGCAGTGGTTAGAGCGCTTACTTTATAAGTAGGAGATCTAGGTTCAAAACGAGCTCAGGACATATTTTCGCATCACTGTAAGGAAGGAGGTGTGAACTTCCTGTTTCAATGCACTTCCTCGGTGCTCTGTGACAAGACCGTTAGGTCTTCTTGGGGTACCTAAAATAACAAAACAAACAAAAAAAAAATTCAGACGGATCGAGGATTTTTATTGACTGTAGCAAAAATACCATAAATATTTTTTTGCTTTAAAAAAAAAAAAAAGTCCTCGCTTTTTACATTTGCTGACAGTACTAAAAGTCCAAGTTTGTCGACTGTACTATATGACCTACATATGCCGATTTGCTGTTCTAAAAGAGCTAAATTTGCAGACATAATAAAATAAAATTCATTGATTGAGTATCACACAACATTCGTGCCAGCTTTGGATATACAGTGGCTTATAGTGATACACGAGGTCCCCTACCACTACATTCTTCTTCCGCCCGTTTAGAGCGGAAGAACGTTAATTGATTTACGCGACGTTAAAACTATCTAGTTAAACAAAACAATTTTTAACAAAATGATAAATTACTTGTCTTTTATGATTTTAATCATGACTAAAACCAGGTTCATGACTAAGATCCAGGTTCGAAACATGCTTTGGACATATTTTTGCGCCACGGTAAGAAAGGAGGCGTGAACTTCCTGGTTAAATGCACCTCCATGGTGACAAGACCGTTAGGTCTTCTTGAGGCACCTAAAAAAAAAATTAAAAAAAAAAACCTTGACCGAACTCTTATCCTCAGTCGATGTATTTACATTAAGTTCTTTTTTATTTTATTTATTTATTTTTTCTTCTCTTTTCTTCTATATATATATATATATATATATATATATATATATATATATATATATATATATATATATATATATATATATATATATATATATATATATATATATATATATATATATATATATATGTATATATATATATATGTATATATATATATATATATATATATATATATATATATATACATATATATATATATATATATATATATATATATATATATATATATATATACATATATATATATATATATATATATATATATATATATATATATATATATATATATATATATATATGTATATATATATATATATATATATATATATACATATATATATATATATATATATATATATATATATATATATATATATATATATATATATATATATATATATATATATATATACATATATATATACATATATATATATATATATATATATATATATATATATATATATATATATATATATATATATATATATATATATATATATATATATATATATATATATATAACATAACACTGTAGAAATAGTAATTACAAAGCTAATTACAAAAAAATTATTTCTAAGTTTACTTAATTAACTTTTTATATAGACATAGATATACGCCAAATGGCGCTATTAAGGGAATCTGCGAAAAGATTTTTTTTGGAGTTTTATACCCATAAATGCAAAATCTTCTTTGATTTCCTTTTTTTAGGTATTAAAGTATAGAAAAAATAAATAAATACATATATATAATAGTTATTATACTAGAATTTATATTAAAGTTTGTATCAATACTATATTAATGTATCAATATTTTATCAATGTATTTTTATCAATCTGATACGTAATAATTTTCTTTTTATCACGATAATAAACGTATATTTTATATGCTATACCAGATTGAAGTTCAATGATAGCATCTTCTGTTGAGCAACTTTTTTGAAAATTAAATTGATTTTCATATAAAATTTTGATTAACTTCAAGTAATTATAATTTGATTGTAGTTTATTTTTTCATAAATTGTAGAGAATACTGGTAGGAGGGAAATTCGATGGTAGTTAGACATATTATTACAATCTCCATTTTTATAAACAGGATTGACTTTAGTAATTTTTAACATATCAGGAAAAGTACTGTGTTAAAAAGAAGACGATATTAGATGAAATAAGGGTTTTCTAATACATTCAATGACGTGTATTGCTACATTGCTAGTAATGTCATCATATCCGCATGACTTATTTCGCTTTAGTTCAGTCAAAGCTTTGTTAAATTCTTTATAGGATAATTTTTCATTTGATACACACGATAGGGTTTTTTTTCCATAAAATTCATCAAACTTCTTATTTGGCATCACTATTTTTGAAGCTAGACTGATCAAGACTTACAAAGTATTTGTTAAGTTAATGGTAAATATCTGATTTATTTGTAGTGTATATTTTTTGAGATATGCTAAAGAAAATCTTTTTTTTCTTTGCCAATTATTTCTTTTATAGTCGACCATATTTTTTTTATTGTCTAATTTATTTTTATTTAGCAGATTAGAATAATACATTATTTTAGCTTTTCTAATATTTTTTTGAAAAAACTGTTTATAAGCTTTGTATGTTTTTTCATCACCTTCATCCTTTGATTTCAAAAATTTTATATAAAGTTTTTGCTTTCGTTTAGACGATTTTATAAGATTACTCATCATCCATGGATTTTTTAACTCTTTATTTTTTACTTCAGATGTTATTATAGAACAGAGAGTATCAAAAATACATTTAAAAGTAGCCGTAACGTTATTAAATGCCTGATTTTGATCCTTAGCTGAGTATACATTTTTCCAGGACTCCTCAAATAGTTTATTTTTTAAATTATTGAGATTTTTTTTAGTAAGGTTTCTTTTAGTAACAAGAAATTTTTTATTATCACTATTAGATAGTATACTACGTGCAATGTGAAAAATGGGGAAATGATCAGAAAAATCAGCAATTAAAATACCAGATTCAAAATCAGAATTATAAGAGTTGTTTGTTAAAATATTGTCAATGGCAGAAGAAGTTTTTTGCGTAATTCTTGTTGGTTTAAAAATAATAGGAATTATATTATATTCAAGTAATTAATCAAAAAAAAAAATTTAATTTTGAAAACTCTTCGTAATGTAAAGCATCTATATTAAGCCCAGTGGACACAGGACGTAAAAAAGACGTCCTTAGGACGTTCAAATCGCGTCCGTCCATCCCATTAAAATTCTAAACGTCTTTTGAACGTCTTTTTCGCGTCCAATAATTTTTTCGTCCAAAAAGTATCCAGAATGCTTTAATAAATAAAAAAAAATCAGTTAAATCAGGCAAGCGCTAAAACTTCTTAAAATTTTTAAGTAATGATAAACTATTCTCTAAATATTAATAGTCTAAATGTGCTGAATAGTGCTGTTAGTTACGCTTATTGTTCGTTTTGTTAATTACGGTTCTGCATTATGTAAAATACACTATTTCTTAGTTTTTAAGTTGTTTCTAGACATTTCTATGCGCAGTTATATATTCCACGCAGTCTTTTGAGTAAAATCGTCAAGCGAATTGGAGCTGATACACTTATTTTCAAGAAGAATTGATGTTGTTTATTTTTTAAAATAAAAATTTAAATAATTGTTAGTTTGTTGTCAAGGCCG